ATACTTAATTAACTAACAACCACTTAATTCCCTCTTCAACTTTGGGGCATATACTGTCTACGTACAAGATAGGATTATTTCCTACTTTAGCAGGAAGTATTACTAGGAAGCTCCTGAGTAGGCCAGAATTTTGTCACAGTAGTAGGGTCCTTCTTGGTCCCAAGTGCCTCACATCTCTTTCATAGTGCCTTGCCCTTGGGCAGGAAAACTTGCTGATATCCTGTCTTCCTGCTCTCAAACTTACTGCTTTCCTGACAAATGTCATTTGAATACATATGCATCTGGACCCTATGTATGGGTCTGCTGCAAATCCACTATATAAACTAATGCCTTGAGTTTCCTGACATGCTGTGGGACTCGGTCCCAGCTTCGTCCTCCTTTTCTGAAACTCAGCTGTAAGGTGCTAAACCAAGTATTTTTTTTTTAACTTGGGGGGCACAGAAGAGACAAATCACTCTCAAGTATTAAAGTACCTAGGGAATCCACAAACATCAACTTTATCATCCCCATTTTACAGGTGAGGTAAGAACTATGTGTATAAAGCTTAGCAGAAGAAAATGTCCCTTTTGGATAGAGCTAGGATTTTGTTTATAAGAATTCATAAATAATCCTTGTTTTTTTTAATAGAAAAAGGCATAACTGACCGGAGCAGATTCAAAATCCAAGACTGTTTTCCATGTCTAAGGAAAAACTTAGCCAACTGGCCCTCACAGCCACCGTCCATATGGAAGCAACTCCCTGAATCACAGGCAGAATATCTAAAAGGACATCAGTCCCTTTTTATAGGGCCACACTTAACAAATATATCTGTAAGTAGCCAAAAATCAGTCAAACTTCCTCCAATCACATTTGAGATGCTTCTTCCTTGAACTTCTTCTGCCTTCAAGAATTTTGTAAACAATGATTTCTCAGTTACACATTCACAGCCTTTCCAAAAACATTTTTCTTAGAAACAGTATGACAAAAGATGTTTAAAATAGGGAACCAAACTTTTGTAAAATTTAACAGAATCTTAAGAATTTTCACAGAGTTCCTGGTAATGTGGTAACGCTTGTTTAATTGACACACCATACAGACTCTTAATGACCATGTTAGCTTTCTTAACTCAGGTCCTTTATTCTTTGTGATTCTCTGCATCAAGCAGTGATACCCCTGTGCAGTGACTTTAATACTCAGTAATGTACATATAAGGGAATCTGATTTGTTTTTCTTTTCCCCAGAACTAAAATAAACCTGCAATGGATCTATGTTATTTTGTGCACATGCTCAAATGTGGCCACTATTTAAGAAACAAATATCAAATCTTTCCAATTCATAGGGGAAGGGAAACCACTTTGCAGTTTTTGCAACTCAGAAAACCTTGGGAATTAAATCTTGCTATTTTGTAGAATTGCTCTGAGTCTGTCACCTCCTTGGTAGAAATATACTCAAGATTCCAAGATTTTCTTCTAGTTCCTCTGGTAAGGAAAAGTACTAAGAATAAAGAATATATGTGTTGGAAAACTAAGTCAATTTGTCATCATGGAAAACCCAAATCTTGATGGTTTTCTACTTTTTTACATAAAAGTAATGAAGTTGGTTTGTTCATATGTACTCAGATTTAAAAGGCTGATTTAAAAGATCCAAGTGATATTGACTTCAAAGCTTCTTTGAGCTGCACAAGGAGTCATGTAGTTATGTCTTTATTTTGATCCAAATGTTACCTAGTTCCATGCTGCAACATGGATTGTTTCAAGAAAGCAATGTACCTTTAAAGAACATTTGTTTGTTACTACTGAGAATATTCAAAATAATGTGCCCCAAAGTCTCAAGGTGATTTCCACAGAAGCACGCCACAATTTTTCAGCAATGGCAAGAATGTTATTGAAGTAATTATATATCTTTGAAGAGGTCTTCTTTAAAAGAATTTTATTCATTTAAACGAATAAAAAAATCTGGGATGCTCATAAGATGACATAGAGATTAGCAAGGCATTTTGCACACATCTGACTGGAGCTTCACATAATAATCTTGCGAGGTGTAAGAAGGGAAGTGTTCTAATTTAACAGATAAGGAAACCAATTCAGAGAGATAAAGTGGCTTGTCCAAGTTAGTAATGATTACCGATGGCATTTATGTATCATTCTACATTAGCAAAGCATTTTACAAGTATTGTCATTTTATCCTGATAGCAACCATGGATAGTAGGTGTTATTATCCTCTCCACAGCTCTTGCCCAGTCATAGCTTTTCAGGGGCTTTAGGGTTACATCTGAAACTGGAGACTTTCTGAGCCCAGGTCCAACAGGCAATCACAGTACCTCCCAGCTGCATCTTATGCTCTTCTAGCTTGTTCTTTTCATTTGTTAAATCTCTAAATTGACTTCAAGTACTAATGTTTTCCATATTGTTACAAAACAAAGTTCAGATGGCTACAATGTAAATTCTCAATGATGGAAGCTGCCTTGGTCTCCAGATTCATCATCCTTCTAGTGTACCATCCTTCTGGTAAGGAAGGGGTAGCTAGTGGTTAATGATTATTTATTTTCACTAATCTTTGGATCCTGAGTAAGCCTGATATCTAGTTTCAAGCCTTTTTTCATAATGTTTCCCCACTACAGGAGAGATCTAGAACCTATTCTTCCCTTGTTCAAGTGTCATTTAAACCCTCCCACCATACACACACACCCCATTTTAAAGATGAGAACATTAAAGTTTAGGATCTACTGCCACCCTCAAATCCACTTCACCTGGCTTGTAGATTTAAAATTAAAGTCAATTTTGAGGGGCCTGGGCTTTAAGGTGACTATAATGAAACAAACTTAAATCAGTGTTCCTTCCTTAGCAGCAGATTTGAAAGTTACTTCCTAATTGAAGACAAGGTCTTCATGCTAGAACAGGCCTATCTTATGATGGTGCACAGAATCAGAATAGTATACACACTACTGAGTCAATGAATATTTATTAAGTGCCTACCATGTGCTAGGAACTGTAATTAGCCCTGGGGATTTAAAAAAAAGCCAAAAAAAAAAGTCCCTGCCCTTGAGAAGCCCACAATCCAATGGGGGTGACAACATGCAAACAACTATGTACAAGCAAGCTGTATATAGGATGAATAGGAAATAATGAACAGAGGATAAAGTAGAATTTAGAAGGACTGAGAAAAGCTTTCCCATAGGAGAGAATTTTAGCTAGGACTTGAAGCCACCAAGAAAGCCGGAAAGTGGAAAGGGGGAGAGAGAGCATTCCAGCCATGGGGAACAAACACTACCCACAACTATATATCAGAAATAGAGACAGGAATGGATCTATAATTTCATTGGCATAAGAACCTTGAAGGTGAGGAAACTCCCTCAGCCAATGCAGGTCAGCACTTTCTCTATAACTTAAATCTTAGTGAGTAGCTTGCACACTAAGAGATGAAGTGATTTGTTCAGGGTCACACAGGCATTATGTGTCAAAGGCAGGAAGTGAATCAAGGTGTTTTTGACTTCAAGGCCAATTCTCTATTTACTACACCAGAGGTGTCAAATACAGATCCCACCACACTCCCAACTCCAAACTAAAGCAGATTAAAATGTAATTGGGAAATATTCAACAAAATGAATAACAGTACAGGAAAACATAGATGAGATCACATTTTAAAACTAAGTCAATATGCAGCCTGCGGGATCATTTTAGAGGGGTTTAATAGCTCCATTTCCACTTAAGTTTGAACCACTGCACCACATCACACTTTCTCAAAAAAAAAAAGCACAACTGAGTTCAGAAAGAGTCATGGAAACAAACAGGAAAATGACTGTCTTATTAAATTTAACACAGCAAAAAATTCAACTTTACATTTTAATCTAAAATCAGTCTGTCAACTAGCCATTATTAAGCACCTACTACAGGCCAGGCCCTGTGAATACAAAGACAGGTAAAAGACAAGTATTTGAAAAAGACAGGCCCTGCTCTTCAAGGAGTTGACAATCATTTCAGGAGTATTTATATGTTGTTCTGACATGATTACTAAATTTAGAATTAAAAAATTCTCTTTAGCTACATGGGAGAGAAAAGGGCACAGAATAATTTTATGGCCACCAATAACGTCTGCCTGGACAACAGTCTCTTTCTGTCTCAAATTCTCTCCTTGCTTTCAATACATCATTCATACTGGTCCTCACTAATTTGTCTACCTTCTGGCTTCCTATAACTCATGCTCCCATGCCTGGAATGCCCCTGGATTCTTTTCATATGTAGATTTCCCACCCATTCTTTAAAACCCAATTCAAATGTCATCTCTTTAAGGAAGCCTCTAACCACTCAGACTCCACAAAGCATTGTTTGGCACTTATCTCCTATTATAGTTATTTATGTCTTCTATCCCTCAATCAGCTTGTAGCTCCATGGGCATTTGTGACACACATACAATTTTGAAACTTAGCTCTGCTATTTTATCAGGCTAACCTTGGGCCAGTCACAACTTCTCTGGGTCTCAAATGGTTCATTTAACCACCTTCATTTCACAGATGAGGAAACTAAGTTCCATTCTAATTCCAAACAAAAGATCCTAAGCTATTTGAGGTAGTTAACAATCCACCTAACACACCTAGAGCTACTATGTGCTATTCCAAAATGACAATCCTTCTCTCACCTGTAAGACACACACATGAAAAAGTAGTAGATTAGGTTGCTGTACTTCCCTGAAGAACCATACCAGGATAGCTGAGAACATGTTAAGATATATCTAAAAGTGTTACTGGCCACTCTTCTGGGAAGGAAGGAGAAACTTAAGATTGGTTTGTGTTTTATCCAAGACTGAAAAAGCAATTTCTATTAATGGAAACAGATCTTCAAAATTCTGGTTTCTAGATATCTTAACTTTTCTGCCTTCTCCTCACAGAATTCAACCCAGCCATTAATCTACATGTTTATTCCCAAAGTGTAGAATCTAAACAGAGTCTACTAAAACATGAAAAACATATATCATCTTGGTTTTGATCATGTGTGATATCCAAGTTTCCCCGAACCAGAAAAGAGTACAACAAAATTAATCATTTTTATTTAAAAGAAATGTTACAAATAAATGTGCAAAATGAATTTTCATGATTAAATCCACACAAAAGGAACATGCATACTTTACATAAAAGTTAGTCAATATAACATGACACTGTCAAGAATCAGGCAAAATGGAAAGACCTCGCAGGTACAGATCTTTTAGACAAAGTGAGATGTGAAACCGGGAACACATAAAATTAAGTCTCAAGGTAATTTACAATCAAGCAAAACCTTACATAAGCAGTGTTAACAACACAGATCCCATAACAATATTCTATTTTAGTTCCAAAATGCTATGTGCCTTTCGTTTCCAAAATAATTAGTGTGTAGCCACTTTTATAACAGTGCGGAAAAATGATGTTACAGGGAAAGGTAACAGTGAAGTACCCAAACTAAGCACCAACAGAAATATAAATGAGTTTCATACACTCTTGCTCACTCTCTTTGGAATGCAGCAGTATGGCATCACTGGAATAAATGCCAAATCTTACTGTCTAAACTGAAAGTCACTGATAAGAACTTCTAAAAAAATCTGTTTTTGATATTTTGTTCCACTTACTCTGTTTTTCCCTGAAATTAAGATGGATTCACTCTCCTCAGGGCTGTATTTCTATCTGAGGAGAAATTACTCCTGTCAGCAATAAGCCTTAGCAAAGTTGGAGAGTCTGTTCTAGCTTCTGTATTAATGTTCCTAACTCCATATACCAACATTCAAAGTCAGCACATGTGTATACATGAATAAAACAAACCTAAAGACCTGCACTGGTGACTTTAAGTAGAGAAAGAATTCAGACTGCAATTGCTAAAGCATATTTTGTGTATTTTTCCTCTTTGTGTTTTTAGATCTGAAGAAGGAATGCATTTCTTCTGTACTAAGGCAAGCTGCTGGTTTTCCTATTCTATTTAAAATCTTGTTACACTACAAGAACTAGTATTTACATAAATAGTTCATTTCCCCACCAAAAGGCTCAATGAAAAGGATGTAAGCTATTGCCTAAACAAATGTCAATATCCGAACTAGTCCAATCCCCTGTACAAAACTCCTGCTTGTTTTGGTACAGAGGGTACAAATGAACTTGTAAAGCTAACTTCATCATTAGAATAAAGAAAATAAACCAAGAAAAAGCTCAAGCTGTTGAAAAACCACCTGAGTGCTCACCCTGGCACACTGATTTGTTTCCTTTTCCATTCATGCGAGAAATGTGAGGCCTCACTTATAAAAGGAAATCAAATAATGGTACGTTACTTCCCAACCAAGACTCTTCCTGGTTAGTTCCCTGGAGCCTGTTCCTCAGTGAGGCCTACATTCCACCAGAACTGGGGAATACTACAGGTTAGTATTGAGTCCTCCAAGTGTTGCAGAATAACTCAGCAGTACTTCAGTCCAAATACTTCTCTTGCAAGGTCAAAGCTTGTCATCAGTCATTTCTAGAAATTGAGCATAGACATCACGGGAACATTCTCCTTTTTGATTGAATAAGAACTTGTAATAGCTGCCATCCGCACAGATTGCTAAGGAAAAGGAAACCCATTTTATCTGATTTTTCTTTTAAAAGTCTAAAGCATATTACTTTCTTTTTCAAAACTGTAATTGAAAACTATAAATTAAAACACTACTGTCTTGGGAAACTAAATGCTGGTCTCAAAGAATTATCAGAATAGACCCAAAACCATCTCTCACTACACCAAATCTACTCTAATGAACACTTTTTTCCTTTAAGCTACGCAGCTATTGTAGTTTCTTTGAAGGAAAACTGAATACCCAACTTGTAGGAAAATATTTTATCTGGTATCAGACCACTTTTATAGAACTCACATGATGAAGTTATCTATGAATTTCCTAGAGAAATACTGAGAGCAGTTAGGTGCTTATACCAAATATAATTCTCCAAACAATACATTTTGAAAGGCTCTGACTGAATCTACAATGGAGAAGCAGGAAGGATAGGTACTGAAGATAATTTCTTTTAGAGCTATAAGACCTTTACTTGTTAGATAAAAATCAAAAACTGACTGTGGGAGAAAAACTTAATGTGCTCTCTCGGTTAAAGAGAAGGTAGTTGGGGAATTTTTTTTTCTCTAAACATACAAAGACACTTCTAAAAGAAACTTACCTATGACAGCATTTGGCTCTGTTCCGAAGGCACAAATGCATGGAGAGCCTGAAGGAACCTGAAATTTGGAAAAACTCCATTTGGAACTGAAGTATTTTGGAAGAAAACTGGCTGATGCCAAACTGGGAAGGAGGAGGGGAAAAAAGTGATCAGATTATCATATTACATTATTAAAGTTATTCAGAACACTTACGATAACTGAAAAATCTCACCCATCTAAACCCAGAATGAACAGATTAAAGTGCTTTCTAAATCTAGTACAGCCAGTAAAGTGATTTCAAAATAAGGTTTAGAAGTTTAAAGAAAAACATTCTACTTTTACATCCTGCTCTTCTGTAATCAACGGAGAAAGAAAGAGATTGTTTTTGGGAAAATGCTGGGTTTTGTGATATAATCGGAGAAGAAAATGTTGAATGGAGCAGAAGTAACAAGCTACAAAATTAATCTTCTGGATCCAACCTCTCCCATATCACAGAAACACACTCCTAAGTGAAAATCAGGAAGTCTTACCAATAAATACTCTATCCTAGGAATCCAAAAACAGTTAACCCTTGCACCAACTAGTTTATAGAGGAGCACAGAATTTAGAGGTGGAAGTGACGTTTGAGAGCTTCTATTCCAAATCTCAGAAGATAACCTAAAAAACTTAGGGCCACAGGGGTAACAAGCAACAGAAAAGAGCCCAAAGTTGTGGAGCCCAAAGTCATGGAGCCAAGGCTCCTCTTCGCTTCCTCCTCTTTCTGGTCAGAGTATTTGAAGGCTTTAATCAATGGGTAGAAAAGTTCTAGCATGCCACTGTTTTATTACAAAATACTATGTAAGATTTCAAAGTCCTCAAAACAGAATAACTACTGACTTCCCAGACGACAGCCTTCACCTATTACCATATACATACAAACCTAAAGGAAGTAACAAGTGATCCTACATTTCATCCTACTTTTGTTGTCAAAATTTAATCCCCAAACCCTTACCTAGACTGCTTGTTCCTTTTGGGATCTTCAGCTGCAAAAATGTGCACTGTTCCATGATCACTTGATACACAGATGAGTGAAGCATCCTGATTAAAATTAATACTGAAAGAAAACAAAAACAAAATTTTGGCAAGCTGACACTGCAAGGGGAAATGGGCCAGAGTCACAGAATATAAGAGTTAGAAGGAACTTTGGAAATCATTTACTCCAACCCTCTCTTACAAATAGTGAAGTAGGCCCATGGTGATGTATCCAATGTCACAAAGCTAGATAGGTTGCGATAAAGCAGGTATTGGAACCTGAACCTTCCCAGTCAAGTATACTACAGAATGCTGACTCATTAGATACTTAAATTGGAGAGAAATGTAGTTTAAATAAATCACATACCCCACACTCTAAAAAATTGTTTATATTTTGATATTTCCCAAAATATTTTGTTCTGCTTTTACAGAGTTCATTTTACAGTTTAATGCTTTCATCAAACACACTTCAAACTAACAAACACAAGACAAAACAAATACTGATCACCTCAGTTTCAAAGAACTACTTTTCCACACAGCTCTCAAGAAACTTGTAACAAACCATATAAATGGGTAACACTACTCTGTTTTGTTCAATTGTCTCTTCAAAGGTTGAGGGTAACAAAGCCATGCTTAAGAAAAGAGTGAAATAAAGATCTCTGCCAAGTTGTAAAATACTTTAGTGCATAGGCTTTAAAAGATTCTATTCAGTGCCTGTACCTATATAGGGGAAGGAGGGAATCAGGGCCATAAAAAATATTCTCAGCAAATAAACCTTTTGATTGGAAAGTGACCATTATGGAGTTTGATGCAGACTCTGAGGGTCACTCTGTGCAATGATTTTTCTGGTTTTATCACGAAAAGAGGCTGATAGGATCAATGAAGGCGGCCATAAGCAAGACGCCAAACCTCTCCTTAAGGACCACCATATTAATTAAACAGAGCAAATAGAATTAAAAGTCTTCTTTAAGGTCTTGATGCTACCCTAAGCTCTAATTTAAGCCAGAGCAAAGCTGAAGTAAGCAGGTGCATCAAACTTCAAAGAATCTTGGTACAGGAAAAAAATCCAGGGTTTTTTACTGCCAAAAATACTACAGCTGAAATCCATCTTAATGGTTTTCTTTAAGAAGAAAAAAAAAAGCCGAGAGTATAAGTAATGACTCATAACAGACTGAATTTAGTGACTACTTATTTGTATTCTTTTAAAATAGACTTATTTCACCTCTTTATTTAAAACTTACAGAAACACTGTTAAAAAATGACAAACTATGTGGTGCTTTTAGTTATCCACACCTGGGAAAAATCTAGCTATTGAGTCTATATACCCTTAATTCAAAGTGTCTACTGGCCACAGCTCAAAAAAACTTCTATAAAGCTAGACCCAAACCACTTGATAAAGTTGCAGGAAATGTTACAGATAAAAATGTCACTCATGCCATAAAAGGATGACATGAAGAAATGAGATGTTTAGCCTGAAGAATAGAACACTTGAAGGGAGATGTGATATCTACAGGCTTGCAACATGGAAGAAGGGTTAGGCTTGTTCTGCATGGTACTGCAGGGCAGGAGTGGGAACAATGGGGGAGAAGTTGTAGAGAAGCAAATTTAGGCTTCATCCAAGGTAAAAACCTCATAACAATCAGAGCTCTCTAAAAGAAGAGCTCCCCCCATCAGTCTTCAGCTACAGTGGGTATTCTTTGGGGGGGTGGGAGGTGGGATAAAGGGGGAAGGAACACTAAGTCTACTAGGACCACTGACATCCTTTCCAACTCTGAGATTCTGTGAAAAGGACTGGGTATCCTCTTTGAGTTGGTTGCTTTGGTGAGCACAATTAAATCCTAGGAATTAAGCCACTTGCCTTCAGTCACTATATGGACACTCCAGAAAATAAGCCCTTCCACATGAGCAGCAACCTCTGAAAGGGGCCTAATACCCACAATATAATACTACAGACTCTGACTCTTACTGCCTCACAGAAAAACCACTCTTTCCTGAGGGAAAAAAGGTTATCAGAAGTATAGCTACTATTCCTTGGGTTTCTCTCTAGACCATCTCTGCTGTAAATCACAGAGTTGTTGTCATGATTCAGCTATTTTCCAGGAAATAAACTAGACATCTTCTTCTCTCTCAGTCCCCTATATTCAAATGAATCAAATTCTTACCAATAAATATTTGCTGCTTGAGATCCTCTTCTCAGTTCCTGGATTAAATGCCCTGATGAAGTATCAAATATTCTTATAAGGGTCCCCTTTGAAAAACAGTGAAGTGTCTCATTATCAAAGATTCAGAAGTCCAGTATACTGCTTTAGATTTTTGTACTGCTTTAGATTCATAGTTCTTACAAATCTATAACCTATACCATTTTTATAAATAATACTACCTGTAATTTCTTACTTATACAATCTAAGTCATACAGCACTGCTTTACTTTCTGACAAAATTTTCCCACTTAGCATTAAAACTCACTAACAATATGATACTAAGACTGAGAGCATAATGGAGATTCAGAATTAAGTATTGTAAGTGACCTAGAGAAAGTTACCTCCAGCAGTAACAAATACTCCAGGCTTGGAAAGCTGGGAGTGTGAGGATATCTGGTGTCTCTTGCCATCACAGGAAGTAGTATCCATAGGAAGTAGTATCTTCAGAATGTGCCAATTTATTTTGTTATAGCTCACAATTACAAACGTCTTTACAAAATACTTTCTTCATAACAAGTACAAATATTATTATAAGTATTTTGCACATCTGTCCAAAGAAATCTGTCCAAGGTCACAAACATAAGGAGAGACAGGTGGCACGTGAACCCAGGGTTTTTGACTTCAAGACAAATGTACTACAGTGCTTCTGGAGGTGACCATCAGGCTGATAGCCAGTTACTTCTATTCGTAAGTTCAATATGAGTTTGAGATTTCATTATCTTCCATCGGCTCATCTGGTTTGTAAATTAGTGTGAGAAAATGTTTAATTCCAGGCTAATTTCCTGTTGCTACCTGACCTGCTCACGCACAACATTCTTTAGCCATCAACTGGTGTACATTCCGTTAGTTCAACATTAGTTTAATCCAGTGATAATTAGGAATGATACATTTGTTGTACCGTCCCTCCTCTCTACCCATATCCCTCAAAATCATGTAATGCATGCCCCAGCTTGGCAGAAATGACCTTTGGACTGTCTTTGATTTCAGGTGGCAACCAAGATATAAGCTAATGATTGTCAAGAAAGCCTTGTAAGTCACTCAAATTAAAAGTGAAACGAAGGACATGATTTTAAAAACTAATTGAATCACCAATTGCATTCTCTAAAGGAGCAAGGAATTGCTATCTAGCCCTGATAGAATATGTATCACAATTATGTCTGGGAAAAAGTTGCCACAAAATTCTTCAGTCTTAAAACATGACTTTCCCAATACCACTATACGAACTATCAAGCAGTCCTAAACAGACTGGAAAATTAGTCCCAACTACATTCTCTGAAATTAAGCTTACTTTTTCAGATGCTGTTGCAATTCTTGTTCCCTGGAGGTTTAAAGCTATACAGCTTAGGACTCCTTCATGAGCTGGGATATCAACTGGAGGTTTTTCTGTGTTGGCCAGATCCACTATCTGCACATGGCCAGTATGTGTACCAGGGAATGCCAGGAGAGAATTGTTGCTATTTGGACACAAAACACATAGACCTAGATACAAAAATATTCAGAAATAAAGCTCAGGATTGTGTGAATAGCCAATCTTATCATATTTTGGCCATCCCATTTTCTATACCTCATTCCCAAATGGTTTTTTTTAAAGGATTCCATAATTCTTCGTGATCACAAAAACAAATCAGGAAAATAAGTTTACACATCTCAAATCACAGAAATGTTTCTTTTTCCTTTCTTATTTTTTTTTGAATGCCCAAAAAGTTTCAGCTAGAGAGGCACAATTATGCTCCACAGTCACTACCAGGATTCAGAATTAAATACAGTACTAAACACTGAGGAAATCCTTAAGAAAATATTTTGCAGTTCCTAAGTTCCATATTTCCCAAAAGATCACTGTTGAGGGCCGGCTCTAAGAGTCCGATCTGGGTTTAAGATCCAGGACAGAGTTTGACTCTTGCCCAGGCTTAACTCACAGGGCTCAATCATTTAGGAAGCAGGGCTCTCCAAATCTCCCCCTGCAAGGAAGGCTCCTGAGACATTCCTTCTCACTCTTTGAACCTTAGATTTACACATTCACTCCTCTATGCAGGTGGCACCAAGGGACTTGGGAAAACCTTGGAAAATACAACCCAATCTAGGAACCCTGATAACGAGGAAATGTATGTTGTCACGTCCTCAGCAGATGTTTTGGGGAGTATCTCACAGGGAGGACTCTTTGAAGTTAGGCTAGATTTTCTCTATATATCCTGTACCCTCAGATGAATAAACTGAGTCAGTTCTGCTGCTCCGCCTGGCCCATGTCTCAAGTTTATTTTGCACTCTTCCGTTCGGTGCACTATTTGATTGCTGGCGACATTCACAATAGAAATATCACTAAAGCAAATCTGGAAGGGTGCTCACTGAGCATAGTCTATAGAGTGTTTGGGGGAAGCAAAGGTGAAGAGATGGGAAAATTAGCAAAAAATAGAAGGAAAAGAGGAAGGTTAAAAAAATATTAGGAGAGAAAAAGAGAACATAACAAGACTTTCAGTTCCTTCTAGGGCTTCCAATTTGCTTTTTTACTTAAAAAAACAAAACAAAACACAATCACCCAAAAAAGAGGTGGCAGTTATTTGTCCACGAGGTAAATTCTTCTCTTTCCCCAATTTAGATCTTGTGCCTAAACTACCACCACTGCACCCCCCTCTAATCTCAAACCTAACTTTAAATAAAACAGAGATTTTCATTGAAACCTTTTGGAAACTATAAAGAATTACTTATTTTATGTCCTTAAATATTTCTGTACCCTTTCATTTCCATTTTAATATCAGGAAAAATATCAGCAGGATAAAATTTCCAGCTCCCATGCTTTTTTGTCATTTTGCTTTGAAACAGCTACCCTGGTATCTGGAGGGGATTCTTCAAAGTTAAGAATATCAGTGATCAAAATAATGGGCTGATGAGCACCAATGTTCCATCTGAGTTATTTTATTTATACACACACACACACGGCCATTTTAGGAGGGTAGATCTTATTAGGGTAGGTAACTCCCAATGAGGAATCCCTGCTCTACCAAAACTTACCTATACTTGCTTTGCAAATTAGTTTTTTAAAGAGTATTTTAATTTTTCCAGTTATATGTAAAGAAAATTTTTAACATTTTTTTGAGTTCCAAATGTCTTTCCCTCACTCCCTCTCCTCCCCTCTTTCTAAAACAGTAAGATATTTCATATAGGTTATATATGTGCAATCATGTAAGACATATTTCCATATTAGTCATAGCTGTGAAAGAAGAGACCAAAAGAAAAAAATGAAAAACAAATTAAAGAAAATGAAAATAGTAGGCTTTGATCTGCATTCAGGGTCCATTAGTTCTTTCTCTGGATGGGGACAACATGAGTCTGCTATAATTGTCTTGGATCACCATAGCAAATTATATTCCTAAAAGAGTTGCCCAAAGCAAGAGGTGAATAAATGACTTGACTGTATCAGAGGTGGGACTTGTACCACTTCCTTCTTGACTCCAAGGCCAGGTCAGATCTCTATCCATGACATCATATTGTCTATAGCCATTATTTCTCTCAAACACCTACATCCACAACTGTCTTTAAAAGTTCAGTTTTATCTCAATTAACATTTATTAAGGCCCCTTCAATGTGTTATTCACTGGGAATATAAAGAATGATAAGGCAGAAGCTCGGCCCTCAAGAAGCTCACAACCTAATGTTAGTAAAGAATGGCACAAAGCATACTGATAAATGCAAATGAGAGACTAAAAGAAAAATCTAAGAAGGAAAATACTATTCTTAGCTTAGAGTAAAAGTAGAAGTGTGTCAGAGAAAAGCAAATATTAAAAAGTCTTCAAAGAAGTGGCATAGTGTCATGACTTGCTGAAGTACTTTTTTCAAAGAGAAATACTTCAACAGGAAAAAATGTCAAAGTAGTATGTCCAAGATACAAAGGAGCATGGCTTATGCAAATTAAAGTGCAAGACTGTGTTGGAGATAAGGTAGTATTCTAGTTTAACTAGAATGATGACTGCATAAAGGGGATTAAAATTAAAAAAAACAAAACAACAAGAAAGTACAGTGGAATTAGACTACAGAGAGCCTTAAACAGCTGGCTAAGGAGTATATGTTTTAAATAGGCAACAAAGATAAAAAAAAATACAAAAACAAGAGGGAATACTAGACATCACTCACTCTTCAGTCCTTACACGTCTTGTTGCAGCACCCTACCTTCTTTATCTCAGCTTCCCTTGAATCTTCTGAGTCATGCTGAACAGGCTCTCTGGTAGCTAGGAGGCACAGTGGATAGAGCCTGGAGTCAGGAAGACTCATCTTCCAGAATTCAAAATATATAGCCTGAGACACTTTACTAGCTGTGTGACTCTAGACAAGTCACTTAACCCTGTTTGCCTCAGGTTCCTCATCTGCAAAATGAGGAAACAGCAAACTGCTCCAGTATCTTTGCCAAAAAAAAAAAAGAAGAAAAGATCAAATGGGATCACAAAGAGTTGTAAAAATGATTGAATGACAGCAAAAAGCAGAGGCTCTCAGCAGTGATCCATGTTAACAGTAAAGTATGGTAACTGCTAAGCTTATATGGACATGTTTCTGAAATTCTAATGTACCATCAACTCTGTAAAGAGAAATGAAAGTATTACCGACATAAAAACCTACCTGGGGAGGGAAAAGTCAAGAGGGCTAAGCAAAGGCAGGGACTCCCCTCCAAGCTCTCCCAAATTACCCTTCAAATAACTTTACAATAACACCTCAAAACAAATTCTGGAGCAACAGAAACAATTTACCAGTGCAAGACAACTTAGAATATTGGCAGGAAAGGTCTGTCTCACTGGGGTGTGAGTAAAGCAAGTACAGCACAGACTGCACCAGAGCAGGCTCCAACCCAGCAAAACAGCAACAGGCCTTGGGGGCAACTCAATCCACTGGGTTGGTGGCTTCAGGACTTTCTCGGGTTTTCAATTGCTCATAGATAAATAAAGTGATAAATTTTAAACAGGTGCTAGTACAGCCAATCCTCAACTTTCATGGGGGTAACATTCCTAGAAAATGGTGGGAAAGTCAAAAAAGTGAATGTTAATACATTGTACCTATGAGAAATAGGGAATTAGGTTCTTATGACCACCAAAAACTGCAATCTTTCACTAGAGATTACTGAAAATATACTTTCCTGCATATAATTCTTTGTGATAAAACATTAATTCTGAAAATATACTCCTTTCCTAACATAGTAACCATGAAATAACCCATAAAATGCAGAGAAGAGGAGAGGCAACTGAAACAGGGCAAGGATGGGCAAGGGCTGTGATGTTAGAAAAATTTCCAGGTAAAAGAAGGGAAAGGGGCAAGCTACCATGTCTAATACGTGCAGCTAGGTGGAACAGTAGATAGAATGCTGGGCCTGGAGTCAGGAAGACCTAAATTCAAATCTAGCATCAGATATTTATGGTGTGACCCTAGGCAAGTCACTTAACCATGTTTGCCTCAGTTTCTTCATCTATAAAAGGGGCTGGAGAAGGAAATGACAAACCACTCCAGTATGTTCATCAAGAAAACTCCAAATGGGGTCACAAAGAATCGGATACAATTCAAATGACTGAACAACAGCAACAAAGCCATCGCTAATCTCCCTTTTCAGCTACATGGTTGAACACTTGGATGGCACCAGCAGCAGGGGAGGCAGGTTGCAGAGACAGGAGTGACCACCATCACCATTTACCCACAAACTTAGCCAGTTCTCCAGTTTTTCAGTTCCCTTATCCTGCATTTGAGGGGTTACTTTAGTACTTTATGGAAATGATTCATAAAGACTTTTACAAGTAATTCCCTCCTTTTTGTAGATATAAACTTGCACCCACTGTGCCTCTGATTTGTTCTCTACAGCACATAATCGCAAAAGTGCAGAGTTGCCAGAGGAAAAGTGAAAATGGGGTTACTAATAAAATCACTTGAATGCTTCAAGTTGCAAAAGTTAAACACACCAATGTTGAGGACTGACTGTGTATCTAAATGACCTCAATGTGTTTGGGAATAGGGTGGAAGGGTAAGAGGAAAAACATCTAAATGTAAATGTTGCTAGTCTAAAGTTTGACCTATTCTGTGCTTGCAGAGAGTAAATGATAGGCGAAAGGAGTATTGTAGAGGTATAATCCACATGACTGGGCAAGTGAATAACAGGAAGAGGAATAAGGCAACAATGACAGTATTCTGAGGTGGTGAACCTAGGCAACTGGAAGGATACAGAACAGAAATGGTGAAACTTAGGTAAGGAATGCATTTTAAGGGAAATAAAAAATTGTTTTAAACTTCTTGAACTTGAAATGTCTAAGCAGAAGTATCCAGCAAATATTTTGTAATAAAAGACAAAAGGTCATGAAAGAAACATAGCATAGAGACTCATTCGTACAGTTTTTATCGAACCCATAGGAGCTGTTGAGAGTACCAAAGGACAAAGGAAGAAGAAAATAAGGTCCTGGTACCTTGAAATCTGAATAGTTGAACTTTAATCTGAGACAACTGTGTGCCCCATGTTA